GAAGACTCTGGCAGGACTGAAATAAATCTTATGACGTAGATAGGACTGGATACAATAAGAAACTGTGGAAAAGTAACTGACATTAGAAAACCTGTTGAAGGGAGGGGTAAATGACTGTTGAATTTTACTGTATTTTGTTTGTATTAAATGAAACACCAATAAAAAGCTTTTTTTAAAAAAAAAAGTGAAGCGGCTTGGCCCTGAGCTGAGTCTCTCGTCTGACCTGGGGTCACAGCAGCTGAATGTTTTTGTCCCATTCAACCCAAAGGTTAAGAATGTACGAAGAGGCCTGTTGGATCCGGCCATTGACCCATCTAGTCCAGCATAATACAGTGGTGCCCCGCAAGACGAATGCCTCGCAAGACGAAAAACTCGCTAGACGAAAGGGTTTTCCGTTTTTTGAGTCGTTCCGCAAGACGAATTTCCCTATGGGCTTGCTTCGCAAGACGAAACGTCTTGCGAGTTCTTGCGAGTTTGTTTCCTTTTTCTTAAAGCCGCTAATAGCCGCTAAGCCGCTAATAGCCGTGCTTCGCAAGACGAAAAAACCACAAGACGAAGAGACTCGCGGAACGGATTAATTTCGTCTTGCGAGGCACCACTGTAATTATTATTATTATTATTATTATTATTATTATTATTATTATTAATACCCCGCCCATCTGGCTGAGTTTCCCCAGCCACTCTGGGTGGTTTCCAATCGAGTGTTAAAAACAATACAGCATTAAATATTAAAAACTTCCCTAAACAGGGCTGCCTTCAGATGTCTTTTAAAGATAAGATAGCTGCTTATTTCCTTCACATCTGGTGGGAGGGCGTTCCACAGGGCGGGTGCCACTACCGAGAAGGCCCTCTGCCTGGTACCCTGTAACTTGGATTCTCGCAGGGAGGGAACTGCCAGAAGGCCCTCGGCGTTGGACCGCAGTGTACTGGCTGGATGATGGGGGTGGAGATGCTCCTTCAGATATACTGGACTGAGGCCGTTTAAGGCTTTCACGGTCAGCACTGACACTTTGAATTGTGCTCGGAAATTTACTGGGAGCCAATACAGGTCTTTCAGGACCAGTGTTATGTGGTCTTGGCAGCCGCTCCCAGTCACCCGTCTAACTGCTGCATTCTGGATTAGTTGTAGTTTCCAGATCACCTTCAAAGGTAGCCCCATGTAGAGCGCATTGCAGTAGTCAAAGCGAGAGATAACTAGAGCATGCACCACTCTGGCGAGACAGTCTGCAGGCAGATAGGGTCTCAGCCTACGTACCAGCATAAGATGGAGATAGCAGCCAGGTTTTAGCAACATGCGACGAGGATTCGTGAATGTTAATATACAACTTAAGTGTTAGATGCAGGTTTTTGATGAGTGTTTTCATTGAGCTGAACCCTCCTGGAATCTTGTATATATGCCAATAAAAGTTTGAAAGTTTGAACTGAATTTGCCTCCTGAGTTGCACAGTATAACTACGCACAATGTGAAGGAGTCCTTCTTTTTATCTGCTCTGAATCTTCCAGCCTTCCGCTTTGTTGGATGCCCACGAGATCAACGCCAGGCAGGCAGCTGTGCTGCGGAGTCATAGTCCCTAACCTCCAGTGGGCACCGGGTTGGGGAAGCCCGTTCTGTAGCAAAAGCCTTGCTATGGAGATGGTGGGGCGATGCTTTGGAATTCTGCAGCGTCCCTCTGATTGGCTGCCGGTGATGTCATCCCTGGCCCACACCATTCAGGTTGACTCTGCTGTTCCTTGATCACAATGGTAAAAATCTCTCCCCGGTTTCATTGAATGCAAAGTCAGATGCAGCCCTAGCAGAATTTGCAAAGGTTTTGCTGGCTCTCTGTCCCACCACTTTATCATCATCAATGCAACAGAGGCATCACCCTTCTCCTGACGACATGTTTCCTTCCCTAGGTCCCATGTTTGGGTCCCAAAAGCTGCTTCCAGCCACGGTATACCTTACCGGGTCCATACTTTCAACCTGAATAGAACAGATTTACTTTTTCTTTTGCTGCATATTTGCAACATGCTCTGTCATCAATGGGACGCGGGTGGCGCACTGGGTTAAACCACAGAGCCTAGGACTTGTCAACCAGAAGGTCGGCGGTTCGAATCCCCACAACAGGGTGAGCTCCCGTTGCTCGGTCCCTAAAAGCACACATTCTGCTCATGTAAAAACACCAGGCAGGCCCCACAAATAACCCAGAGAAGCATTTTAAATAAAAGCACACATTCTACTCATGTAAAAACACCAGACAGGCCTTACAAATAACCCAGAGAAGCATTTTAAATAAAAGGGCACATTCTACTCATGTAAAAACATGCTGATTCCCGGACCGTCCGCCGGCCGGATTTAGAAGGCAATTGGGCCGCATCCGGCCCCCGGGCCTTAGTTTGCTTACCCGTGGTTTAACAAGTACAGTCGTACTTTCTTTTATCTGCCCTGAAATCTTCCGACCATGGGTTGTAGCATGATGAGAGAGGGAGGAAAACCTTTTCTCTATCCCCTTTCTCCCATCCATCCCTAATTTTATAAACTCACCTGAGCTCAACATTGAGAAAAGCTTCGTGAGCCCAGGGACCACATCGCCGGGTCAGCACACACCTTGGTCCACCCTTTATTACCTGTGTGTTTTCATAGCAACTCTGCCTTGCGGTTTCCCGGGTGACCCCATCCAGCTGCAGTGTAAACCCTCCACCCAGTGAATCCCCCCCCCTCCCCAGAACTAGTTGCCCTTGTTGCGATGTAAGGCTGAGTTTTGCCTCTTGAGCTGCTTGCCTGGAGTGAACCGAAGATCAAATCTACTCTCAGCCAGACAGTAAGTGCTACAGATCTGTGGTCCTTCTTTTCTGGAGGAATAAGCTGCTTGCATCATCTCAGTTCGTTAGGAAAGGTGAAGTCACACAGTGCATCTACAACACAGATAAATTAAGACCCTCTCCTTCCCTGGAGGTTTCCAGGCAGAGATTGGAGGGCCATCTGTCATGGATGCTTTAGCTGAGATTCCTGCATTACAAGGAGGTTGGAATGGGGTTCCATTGCAACTCTATGATTCTATGATTCCAACTCTATGATTCTATGATTCTAAATAATGATGGGATCATTATTTTACCCTCTTGATTTGCACCACCACCAGCTCGCCAGCAGCATCCACATTACAGATGCAGGAACCTTTCCATTTCATAAAAACTTCTCACAATATACACATTTTTGTATGTGCTTTTTGCCAAAAAAGGGCACCTTTTTGTAAGAGATACAATGCATTTTGTATGTCGTTTTCATGAGTTTATGTGTTTTTAGGCACGCTCTCGCCTAATATATACATCGCCGTGCCCAAATTTTGTTTGAAGAGCTGCATCACAAGAATAGATTGGGAAAACGGAGAATTTCCACAGGTTTCGGTTGGTGTATAGTTTCAGGAAGAGCAAATTGGGCAGGGTCATATTAAAATGCAAACGGAACCAGTTTTCTCCTTTACCTTTGCATCCATAACTAGGACTGTGATTTTTTATATATTTGAGAAGCTCCTGCCCATATATGTTTGTTTAAGCTATAATAATGGGGTCCCTGAATGGCATAACATCAGAAGAGTCTGTCTGGATCAGGCCAGTGGCCCATTTAGTCCATCAACCTGTCCTCTCATTGGTCTCTGTCGGGGATTCTGCAAACAGGATCTGAGCACAAAAGCAATTATCTCCCTTCCTGTGGTTTCCAGCAGCAGGGATTCAGAATCATTGCTGCTTCCAGCTGTAGAGGCAGAGCATAGCTATTGCGGCTAGCAGCCATTGGTAGCCTTATCCTTCATGAATTTCTCCAGTCCTCTTTTAAAGCCATCACTGCTTCCAGTGGGGGTGAGTTCCATGGTTGATTTATGCATTTTGTCAACCCTAATAAGGAGGGCCGCCAAATGAAAAGCTCTAACAGGACAGCCTAGCTGCCTTGGTGGCGCTGCGGTCTAAAGCACTGAGCCTCTTGGGGTTGCCGATCGGAAGGTTGGTGGTTCGAATCCCCGCGACGGAGTGAGCTCCCGTCGCTCTGTCCCAGCTCTACCTCTCTTTCAAATCAGAACCAGTGAAGGCGGTGAAGGTCCTGTGTGAGTGCCTGGAGGCGGTTGGAGGATGGATGGCAGCTAACAGATTGAGGTTGAATCCTGACAAGACAGAAGTACTGTTTTTGGGGGGACAGGGCGGGTGGGTGTGGAGGACTCCCTGGTCCTGAATGGGGTGACTGTGCCCCCGAAGGACCAGGTGCGCAGCCTGGGAGTCATTTTGGACTCACGGCTGTCCATGGAGGCGCAGGTCAATTCTGTGTCCAGGGCAGCTGTTTATCAGCTCCATCTGGTACGCAGGATGAGACCCTCCCTGCATGCTCTAGTTATCTCCCGCTGGGTCTACTGCCATGTGCTCTGTGTGGGACTACCTTTGAAGGTGACCCGCAAACTACAACTAATACAGAATGTGGCAGCTAGACTGGTGACTGGGAGCGGCATATAACACCTGTCTTGAAAGACCTACATTGGCTCCCAGTACGTTTCCGAGCACAATTCAAAGTGTTGGTGCTGACCTTTTAAAGCCCTAAAGGGCCTTGGCCCAGTAGACCAGAAGGAACGTCTCCACCCCCATCGTTCTGCCCGGACACTGAGGTCCAGCGCTGAGGGCCTTCTGGCGGTTCCTTCCCTGCAAGAATTGAGGTTATAGGGAACCAGGCAGAGGGCCTTCTTGGTGGTGGCACCCACCCTGTGGAATGCCCTCCCACCAGATGTCAAAGAGAAGAACAACTACCAGACTTTTAGAAGACATCTGAAGACAGCCCTCTTTCGGGAAGCTTTTAATGTTTAACAAATCACTGTATTTTAGTGTTTTCTTGGAAGCCGCCCAGAGTGGCTGGGAAACCCAGCCAGATGGGCGGGGTATAAATAATAAATTCTATTCTATTCTATTCTACTCCTTTACCTTTACCTTACCTTTTGTTTCTGTAAACACAACCTGAGGTGTCCCTTCTTCCTGTCTGTTACAGAATGGATTTGGGCAGCTACCTGGGAGACTATGAAGATGACATCTTCCGAGGGTCTTCCCCCCTGGGGTGGGAAGATTCTGAAATTTTTCTGGGTAGCCAGAGCGGGACAGATCTGAGCCAAGGAGACTTGCAAGATGACACAACCGAGTCTATCACGGATGAAAGCGGGCCGCTGCTTCGATGCCTCAAGAAAATCTACCGGAAGGGAAAGAAAGAAAAGACGAGGCGACGAAAAACCATGACTTCAGGTAAAGCAAGGTCTCAGCGGCTCAGATTGCGTTGGAATTGTGGATGCGAGGAAAAATAAATACATATTAAAGGATAAATCCTAGATGCCAAGTTCCAGGTTTGGGGCTAGTTAGTGCTCTTTGGTGAGGGAATCCCAGTAGAGATTTATAATATGCAGCAAAGTGAAATAGGTAGCAATATCGGCTGTTAGGCCTTTAAAATATGCCTTTGTGAGTAACTGAACAGTCCCTGCTGCCCCAAGCATAGGAAAAGACCACAGGTTTGGTCAGTTAAAAATGGGTTTACTTACAAACTCTTCAAAGGTCAGGTTCATGTGCTTTTCCACACATCCATTCAGAAAAGTTGCACAGACAGTAAAACCTGGCTTAGTTACAGTGGTGATGAAGCACGTGAACGTAAGCAGGTACTCGCTTGTCATTAATAAGGATCAGGCAGACGCAGCAATGGAGAATAAGAAGGTGAAGTTTATTGCCAGGCAATAAGGACCCAGTTTGGAATCTCTTCCAAAAGGAACTGGGACCCCGATTGACAGAAATCCAGAGGTCTTTCTACCTGAGCAGATCACAGCAAATCATAGATCATGAGACAACCATGAGGGACTCACGATATTGTCAGCGGAAATTAGCCAATTAGCAAGCTTCTTGCCATGCTTCCAGCTCCTGATCGAGCACTGGTCAAGCACAGAGTTCTAGTTCTGCTTTCCGCTGCTTGCAGTGACGCTCTGTCTAACCTCTCCCCTAGTTATGACAGGACAGGGAGTTTTGGAGATTTTGTGGTTTTGCTCTTCCTGTTCTGTGGATTAATTTAGCCTGTATCTGAGGGGATTTTGTACCAGTATCTCTGATTCACGTCTTCCCCTTGTCCAGGGTACACGGATGTTTGTAGGGGAAAGGTCGGCTTCTAATTTTGCTGTTTCAAGCGGTATGCAGATAGCTAAGGCACAGCTTCCCTTTGATTCAAAATGGATTATAAAATACTGTAAGCCCTGATTATGTGTGAGCATATAAATGAATATATTGATTACTGATAACTGATTATATGGATAGCATAGCGGTAGCCCTTCTTCCTTGCCTCAGTGAGAGTTCCCAAATTACTGGTATAGGAAGTCAAGTGTGGCTTGTAAGAGCCATGTGGTCTGAGCTACAGCAACCAGCTCAGTGCAACTCAGTCCCAGGGCTGGATTTAGGTTTGATGAGGCCCTAAGCTACTGAAGGTAATGGAGCCCTTTATATATGTCCAGCTGTCCTTTGTCCACAACAAATTGTCGCTGTTTTTTGTGTTGAATATATGCTATATGGTAATTTATGGACCTAATAGGTATTTTATCAAACGTATTTGATAAATATGTATTTTATCAAAGTAATTTGTTTTTTATCTTGTATTTTGGAAATGTACATCCAGTTTTTTTTCCTTTTATTTTTTTTGGAGGCCCCCAAGAGAGTGGGGCCCTAAGCTATAGCTTGTTTAGCTTATATGTAAATCCGGCACTGCTCAGACCTCCTCACACGCTTCTCTGGTAGACGGGCATCAGCCAGCACCCCAAATTCTTAATTCTATATCACATGCACGCACAGAAGTTGAGGAAAGCCTTCATGGATCCTGCAGGCCAAGGCTGGGAGATCTTTTGTGGACTGAGGGCTGCCCTCCCTTCTGGGGGCCACTTGCCATTGGTGGGCGGAGCCAGAGGCAAAAGTGGGCGGGGCAGTGAACAAGATGCTTAGCTTTGCAGCATAGGCTGATTTCACTCCCCTCTATTTTCCATCCAGGGCTGGTGACCTAGAGAGAAGGGGTGGGTGGCCTGGAGAAAGTCCTGCAGGCCAGGGAGAGGTGCCAAGCAGGCTGAATTTGGCCCCCGCATTTGGCCCACCCCTGCTACAGGCAAACTACCTCTGGAGAAAGCTGTTAGATCCTTATTCCTCAAGGGACCCTGAATCCCCATTAGGAGAGTACAGTGGATGCTCGGGTTGCGAACGTGATCAATGCGGGATGCACGTTCGCAACCCTCAGCGTCCGCAACCCTCAGTGGCGCATCTGCGCATGCACGGGTTACAATTCTGCGCAAAGCGCGATTTAGCGCTTCTGCGCATGCGCGACCGCCGAAACCCAGAAGTATCCTGTTCCGGTACAGTGGTACCTCGGGTTAAGAACTTAATTCGTTCCGGAGGCCCGTTCTTAACCTGAAACTGTTCTTAACCTGAAGCACCACTGTATCACCCTGCTTGTGGTTAACGCTTAGCTGGAATGAAATATTCAACGCAGCAATAGAGAAATTAAAATAATAATTTATTTGTCAGACAAATAAATGAGAGACACAGTGGTATATGGTTACCAAAGCTCTGCCCACTCCAGCCCTGATGGCCAGCACTTATATTTCCTCAGCCCAGCCCCCTTGCTCCTCCTTTGGCTGCCTCTGTCCAGTCAGCCTGGTTGAAATTCCTATTGGCTGTTTGCTAGAACCAATCATAAAAGATACACCCATTTCCTATTACCTTTTATGGGAGAGAAAGAGCTATATTTCCTTCTATCCATAAATGGCAGACAAGTAGCCATATATCTTACATTTGCCTCGACCAGGCACCTTAATTACCAGATCACCTTTTGCCCTATTGCCCTATTGCCCCTTCACTCCAAAACAGATGGCTAAAACAGATGGCTCATGGTAACAGAGATCTTGGGTTCACATTCTCACACACCATCAATGAAATAAGGATCTAACATAAGAATCTAACATTTCTTACTTTCTAAATCCTTTGCATAATTACATTTAAGCCAACAAATCTCATACATTAACATAGATAGCTTTTTAGAAGAAAAGGAACTCAGTAAACAGCTTCAAAAGCAGCCTCTTTAGTTTACACCCCCCTTTTCCCAGCCAGCTGCTTTCCCCATTAGCTCTTGCCCTTTAACCTTAGGAAAATATGACTCGAGTCTAATGGGAGGCACATGGTATTATTTTCTAATAAACAATAAATCTTACTATTTACCAACTCTTAATTAGTGTTTTTGCAGCTTGATTGTATTCTGTAATTTGTAGGGTCAATGTAACCTTTGCTCCCAGCCTGTATTTCCCTTTTACAACTTTGAGAAACTCGTCTCCTGCTATAAATCGGGGGGGCCTGTTCAGCAGGATAAACAGCTGCCAAAGTACTTAGCCAGCTGCTTTATGCCTGGCATGAAACATACAAACATTTGCAAATATATTTTTTAAGCTCATTTTAAAATACAGGCCTTGATCATAAAATACAGGCCTTGATCAGATGCCTCACCACTTTAGCTAATGGGGCCTCCTGCTGCTGCCGCACTGCCTGAGCACGATTTCTGTTCTCATCCTGAAGCAAAGTTCTTAACCCGAGGTACTATTTCTGGGTCAGCGGAGTCTGTAACCTGAAGCGCATGTAACCCGAGGTACCACTGTACTTCCGGCTTTCGGCGGTCCGCAACCCGAAAAAATGCAACCTGGAGCATCTGTAACCCGAGGTACCACTGTAATTGATTTCTCCTTTCTCTCCTCTTCCCCGGCGCTTTTAGTCCCTGATCTCTCTGCTATGGCAACCATCTGGGAAGAAAGCGAGAACCCTGGTTCTGCTCAGGAGCCTGAGCTCCTGTTGAACTCCTGGAGGAGCACCATAGATTACTTCAACAGTAAAAAAGAGGTATGGGGGCACGACTTAGGAACAGGCTATCTGAGGGACCGTACTGTCCCATAGGTGCCCGCCCAGGCTCCAAGGTGTTCAGGGGAGGCAGAAGGCTGGAGGGAGTAGAACGGACTCCCTCAGGACATGATGGGCTCTCCTTCCTTGGATTGTTTTCAAGCAGAGTTTGGATGGCCGTCTGTCATGGATGCTTTAGCTGAGATTCCAGCATTGCAGGGGGCTGGACTGGATGACCCTCGGGTTCCCTTTTTACTTTTTAACCATTATCTTTTATATGTTCTTAGCTGTGTGTATTTTACCTCTGTCCTTTTAATTTGTGTAAGCTGCTTTGAGTCCTGGACTGGGGAAAAGGTGAGATATCAATAATAATAATATAATAACAAAATTTGATTATTTATACCCCGCCCACCTAGCTGGGTTTCCCCAGCCACTCTGGGCGGTTCCCAACAGAACACCCATAACAATAATTTAAAAAGCGACAAAACATCAAACATTACAAACTTCCCTAACCAGGGCTGCCTTCAGATGTCTTCTAAAAGTCAGCTAGTTGTTTATTTCCTTGACATCTGATGATGAGGGCGTTCCACAGGGCGGGCGCCACCACTGAGAAGGCCCTCTGCCTGCTTCCCTGTAACCTCGCTTCTCGCAGGGAGGGAACCGCCAGAAGGCCCTTGGAGTTGGACCTCAGGCTGAATGATGGGGGTGGAGACGCTCCTTCTCTCTCTCTGGAAACCACAATGTAGGGTTATCAACTGCCAGCCTAAGCATCCAATCCGGCCTCCAGGGGGCTCCCCATCTGACCCCCATTCTGGATCCAAAAGATCCCCCATCTTTATACACTGTCTACTTTCTCCTCCATGGGCACAGACAAAGAGAGCCAGTGTAGTGTAGTGGTTAGTGTTGGACTAGGACGTGGGAGACCAGGGTTCGAATCCCCACTGGGCCATGAAGCTCACTGGGTATATGACCTTGGGGCCTGTCACTGTCTCTTTCAGACTGGCCTCCCTCACAGGGTTGTTGTGGGGCTTAAATGAGCAGAGGAAGAAACCTGTGCTCCCCCTCAAGCTCCCTTGAGAAAAAAAGGCAGGATAGGTCTGCAATAAATCCATAATAATAATAATAAATACTTCTCTCTCACACACACCCAATTTCCTTTAGGAAGATGTCATGAAGAAAAGTTTTTTCAGGTTCTTATCCATCCTCAGCAAGACAATCAACTGGAGCAACATGACTGATTTCTTTATGGATAACTTTACCTCCGATGTTGTGGGAGTCTTAACAGTGAGTTTCTCTATTTGCTTGTTTTCAATCTGACCCCACTCTTGAAAATATTTACTCAACCCTTGCTTTTTCCTGTACATGCAGAGCCCTCCTTGTACCTTAACTGGAGTTAAGGTTCCTCCTGTTACCAATCTTGTGGTCAGGCTGACACTGACCTCACTGTTGATGAGTTTTGCAGGATTTCTACCTCACTGACTGAGGATATCCCACTTCTCGTTTACAGGAGATGATTAAGAGAGACTTTCCAGAATCCAGCGTCGTCTGTCTTCATGCTATGGCCACCGTTATTGACTTGAGGTAGATTCAATTCCTTAGCTCCCTTCCTGGGTTGACCTCTAACTCATGACCTGCCGCGGCAACTGCATTGAAGCTTTCTGCTGTGCAAAAGGAATCGGTTTTACACTTGTGGTCAATGGTTTCAAACGAAGTGGCGCCTCATAGATTAGGAGGAGATATAACATGGCGCCCTCCAGATACCCTTGGGCCTCCAACTCCTATCAGCCCCAGCAATCGTAGCCAATGGCCAGGGATCATGGGAATTGTAGTCCAAAACATTTGTAGGCTGCCACATTGGTGAAGGCTAGGCCCACACTATCTAAAGGGTCATTTTCTTCCACTCGAACCTATCCCTCAGTAAATATGTTCTTCAGAGACCTGTCTTCTAATTTCACTGCCTTCTGAGATCTAGCAGGAAGATGCTGGAGAAGAGTGCCTTCTTCTTGGTGGCACCCAAATGATGGAATACTCTCCACTGAGGTTTGCTTGGTCACATCTCTGCATAGCTGTCAACTTTTCCCTTTTCTTGCAAGGAATCCTATTCAGAATAAGGGAATTTCCCTTTAAAAAAAGGGAAACGTTGACAGCTATATATCTCTACCATCCTTTAGGCACCAGGCACTGCCCGTCCTGCTCTCTTGGGCTTTTAATGGTAGATGAGATCTTTTAATGTCCTTCTGTGTTACCCTGTTGCTCAGGACTCTGCAGTTACGTTTTCTAGGAAAAAAGGGATGCCAGAACTCACCACGAACATTTCCCTTGTTGTCTTATAATGGCAATGGCGCCCACCTGAGAGGTGCCAGAATTGACTTCTGGTGACTTCTGGCTGGAAAAAAAGTCCAGCAACTGTGTATGCTAACTAACTAACTAATCAGTTGCAATCCTTTACTGTTTCTATAATAATAATAATAATTTATTATTTATACCCCACCCATCTGGCTGGGTTTCCCCAGCCACACTGGGCGGCTCCCAACAAAACACTAAAAACACAATAAAACATCACACATTAAAAACTTCCCTAAACAGGGCTGTCTTCTGATGTCTTCTAAAAGTCAGATAGTTGTTTATTTCCTTGACATCTGATGGGAGGGCGTTCCACAGGGCGGGTGCCACTACCGAGAAGGCCCTCTGCCTGGTTCCCTGTAGCTTTGCTTCTCGCAATGAGGGAACCGCCAGAAGGCCCTTGGAGCTGGACCTCAGCGTCCGGGCAGAATGATGGGGGTGGAGACGCTCCTTCAGGTATACTGGACCGAGGCCATTTAGGGCTTTAAAGGTCAGCACCAACACTTTGAATTGTGCTCGGAAACGTACTGGGAGCCAAGGTAGGTCTTTCTGTATTATTGTCCTAAAATGACAGATTTGAAGAAAAACGAAAGGGTCAATCCGTGAGATCAAAGGTCAAAAGACTGGGTTGAAATCTTAAAAGTAACACGAGTGAGTCATTCCCCAGCCAGACGCCCACCAGAATTTTCAGACTCCATCTTGCATCATCCCCAGCTGGCAAAATGCTATTCTCTGACTCCCGTTTCTTCCACCAGCAAGGCGAATGTCACAAAAACGATGGGGTCCTACAAGAAGGGGATATTGCTCCGCACCTTTTTCAAGAGCGTCTTTGCCCTGTCACCCCTGAAGGCGGGACAAGAGGAAGGAACAGCCAATTCTGCCAATGCCCAGTACGCAAAGGTAGTTTTGTCTTCCTCTCTGGCTTAGAACATAAGGAGAGGCTGCAGGATCAGACCAATGGCCCATCTAGTGCAGCATCCTGTCGTCTCAGTGGCCAACCAGATGCTTCAATGGGGATCCTGCAAGCACAAGAGCCTTCTTCCCTCCCGTAGCCTATGGCAGCGAGTCACATAGTTCAGCTATCATAAAATCATAGAACTGCAGAGTAACTTAAAGGTAAAGGGACCCCTGACCATTAGGTCCAGTCGTGGCCGACTCTGGGGTTGCAGCGCTCATCTCGCTTTATTGGCCGAGGGAGCTGGCGTACAGCTTCCGGGTCATGTGGCCAGCATGACTAAGCCACTTCTGGCGAACCAGAGCAGCGCACGGAAACACTGTTTGCCTTCCTGCCAGAGTGGTACCTATTTATCTACTTTCACTTTGATGTGCTTTCGAACTGCTAGGTTGGCAGGAGCAGGGACCGAGCAACGGGAGCTCACCCTGTCGCGGGGATTCGAACCGCCGACCTTCTGATCGGCAAGTCCTAGGCTCTGTGGTTTAACCCACAGCGCCACCCGCGTCCCGCAGAGGAACTTACAACAAGACTAAACCTTAACACTAAGCATACTGTGTACAGAACACCACACCAGAAAGGGAGATAGAAAGAGAAAGTGAAACCCAGTCTCCTTCTGGCCTTACTTTTATAGCCAACATGAGTTTGTCAGAAAGAGATAACAGAACCAGTTTAAGCCCACTGTACTCAGCTTCTCGGAAGGAATAACCCAAACATCATGATGAACCTTCTGCTTGTTTCTTTCACACAGAGAAGCTTCCACAACCCTCTTGAATTAAGTAGAATAGGAAAGATATCTGCACATCATATCAATACTATCTGTACCAAGAAATGCAATTTGACAGTTAACCTGTGGCACTTCAGATATTGCTGGACTCCAGTTCCCATCAACCTTGACCACTGGACGTGCTGGCTACGGATGATGGGATTTGCAGTCCAACAAACTGCTTAGCCACCCTGGTTTAGTGGACTTTTTATTCAGCCGTGATATAAAGAAGGGGTTTCATGTATGGGAATCCCCCCAGATCCTGGAGCTCACCAGCCCAGCCAGCCCAATATTCCATCATAGAATTGAAGAGTTGGAAGGGACCCGAGGGTCATCTAGTCCAACCCGCTGCAATGCAGGAATATGCAGCTGTCCCATACGGAGATCGAACCTGCAACCTTGGCGTTCTCAGCACTGTGTTGGTAACCAGCTGAGCATATTCTGGCATTATGTGTGCTGCATGAAGAAATGCTTACTTTTGTCTTTCCTGAATCTTCCAATGTTCGGCTTCATCGAATGTCCACGAATTGTAATGTTACAGATCTATCTATCATCTATCTATCTATCATCTCTGTTCCCACACTGCTCCAGTGGGAAGTTTGTGGCTTGGATCCTGACAAGGAACTAATCTACATTTCCAGCTCAGCCAGTAGGGCACGAAACTCTTCATTTCATCGGTCATGGGTTCAAGCCGCACATTGGGCAAAAGATGCCTGCATTGCAGGGACGGGGTTGAACTAGATGACCCTTGTGGTCCTGAGCAGTAATCTAGGCAGGGCATTCAGCTCTCCTAGTTTCCAAGGTCATCCTTTCCTGGGCCCTTAGTGAACTGGTCTCCTTCAACATTCCTACCCCCTCCTCCAGAACCTCTTCATCAGAACATACCAGACCTTCAGTGAGATGCTCCAGCAGCTAATGGTGGAAAACCCAATTCCTTCGGAGCTGGAGAGGATCTTGCAGGTAAGAGGAAAGGAGTAATAATAATAATAATAAATAATAATTTTTTATTTATACCCCACCCATCTGGATGAGTTTCCCCAGCCACTCTGGGAGGCCCCCACAGGCTAAAAACAGAATAAAACATCAAACATTAAAAACTTCCCTAAACAGGGCTGCCTTCAGATGTCTTCTAAAAATCTGGTAGTTGTTTATTTCTTTGACATCTGGTGGGAGGGCATTCCACAGGGTGGGCGCCACCACCGAGAAGGCCCTCTGCCTGGTTCCCTGTAACCTCACTTCTCACAGGGAGGAAACCGCCAGAGGGCCCTCGGAGCTGGATCTCAGTGTCCGGGCAGAATGATGGGGGTGGAGATGCTTTTTTGGGTATACTGGGCCAAGGCCGTTTAGGGCTTTCAAGGTCAGCACCAACACTTTGAATTGTGCTTGGAAACGTACTGGGAGCCAAGGTAGGTCTTTCAGGCTCAGTGTTATATGGTCTCGGTGGCCGCTCCCAGTCCCCAGTCTAGCTGCTGCATTCTGGATTAGTTGCAGTTTCCGGGTCACCTTCAAAGGTAGCCCCACGTAGAGCGCATTGCAGTAGTCAAAGCGAGAGATAACTAGAGCATGCACCACTCTGGTGAGACAGTCCGCGGGCAGGGAGGGTCTCAGCCTGCATACCAGATGGAGCTGAGAGACAGCTGCCCTGGAGACATAATTGACCTGCGCCTCCATGGACAGTATCTTCAGATTGTCAGGATTCCATCTTACTGCCCATGGGTTTGGTTGCTGGCTAAGTGGGAGTTCCTGCTCAACCTCTATATATTTTATGTATGCAATGTCTGCTCCACCTAGATAATTTTTATGGGACCACATTCAAAATGTATGGTACGTATTTCTCATGGACACTGACCCCAGAGTCCTCTGCACTTTCTGGTACTTTGGGAAGACAAGTGAATAGACTGGATGACTGTAGATTTTTTCTCTCTCTGTTGCATTTCCCCTCCCCAACAGCTGATGGCTCCTTGGCTACAGTCCTCAGAGACCGACCTGCGAGAGAGGGCTATCTGGACCAGTGCGTCGCTGCTCAACTTTGTGGCCAGCAAATTACAGCTGGATGTGAGTAGACAGTGAAATAACCTCCTCCTCTTCCTCCTCCTCTCTCTGAACTGCTTTCTCTATGGTTGCCCTCGCTCTCCTCTCAAGGCTCCTCAGCAATTCATAGACCATGCCAGGCTGCCCATCTCATTCGGGTCCTTCGGCGGCACAGCCGCAGAACGGCCTAGCGGGAGCGGGAGCGGCGGTGACGGGCAGAGGGGAAGCCCCAGGCAGAGACGCTCAGTTCGGCGGCCGCGAGGAGGATGGTGGCAGAAGGGCCCAAGGCTCCCACCAATCCCGGCAGGGAGGGGTTCCCGGGGGCCGAGGCTGGTGAGAGGAGGCCGGAGGGGGGCGAGCCGGACAGCCAAGCAACACAGTTGGAGCCTCCCTCCTCCCTGGCCGGCAGGGAGGGAGGGAGAGGAGCTGCTTCCTTTGAAATTTAAGGGACATCATTTAAGGGACATTTAAGGGACATCTATCAATAAGGGACAGCAGTGGGACATGGCGCTGGGATAAGGGACTGTCCCTCCAAATAAGGGACGGTTGACAGCTATGAGTTGTAGTCCCAAAACAGCTGGAGGGCCGAGTTTGGGGATGCCTGCTCTAAAGTTCCAAATGCTGCAAGCTTTCCTCATAAGACAGCCTCTCCATCCCCTTGATTATTTGGGTCGCTCTTTCTTGAGCTCATGGGGCTCCCTGAGACTCCTTCCTCATGCCCAGCACCGCTGCGCCCCCTTTAACAGCATGGGAAGAACTATGGAGAAAGAACTGGAAATTTGTAGCTTGTGAAGTATTGAGGGAAAATCTAATCAAGATGTTTTATATATGGTTCTTAAAGGTAAAGGGACCCCTGACCATTAGGTCCAGTCGTGGCCAACTCTGGGGTTGTGGCGCTCATCTCGCTTTATTGGCCGAGGGAGCCGGCGTACAGCTTCTGGGTCATGTGGCCAGCATGACTAAGCCGCTTCTGGCAAACCAGAGCAGCGCACAGAAACGCTGTTTACCTTCCCGCCAGAGCGATACCTATTTATCTACTTGCACTTGACGTGCTTTCGAACTGCTAGGTTGGCAGGAGCAGGGACCGAGCAACGGGAGCTCACCCCGACACGGGGATTTGAACCGCCAACCTTCTGATCGGCAAGTCCTAGGCTCTGTGGTTTAGACCACAGCGCCACCCGCGTCCCACATGGTACTTAACACCTACCAAAATAGCTAAAATGTATAAGACAAAATCAAATCTGTGCCGGAGGTGTGGTAAAACAGAGGGGACACTTATACGTGTTTGGTGGACCTGTGGAAAAAATCAAAAGCTTCTGGAACATAGTATATGACGAGCTTAAAAAAATGTTTAAGTATAACTTTATGAAAAATACAGAAGCTTTTCTACTAGGGATAACGGACACAGGTATAGCAAGAGAAGATCAGAAAATATTCCTCTATGCCACAGGAGTGGCAAGGATCCTAACTGCCAAAAACTGGAAAAAAGGAACTGTGCCAACAAAAAAGGAATGGCAAGATAAACTGTTAAGAGTATATTGAACTGGCTAGATTAACAGAGGCAATTGGAGATCACACTAGACAAGAGTTTCAAAAAGCATGAGGAAAATGCAGAGAATACTTCACAAAACAGTGCCCTAAAATACATACCTGGACTTGTTTCGATTAATGTCTGCAGGAGACTCTGTGGATATTTAAGTTATAATTAGAAAAATCTCAATAATTATTCATAAAGGAAACAGCTTATAAGAAGTAAATAAGGAGGCCAGATACAGGATAAAGGAACTGCTAAAAACTGGAAAAAAGAAACTATGCCAACAAAAAAGAAATGGCAAGACAAACTGTTAGAGTATCTTGAACTGGCTAGAATGATTAATGTATGTTATGTTCACATTTAATGAGGGTGGATTTCTGTATTGGAGTGGGTGGGGGCAGTGGCGTATCGTGGGGGGTGCAGGGGGGGGCCGGCCGCACCGGGCGCAACATCTGGGGTTAGGGCAAATCCACGGGTTAGGGTGCGCAAATCCACAGGTTAGGGGGCGCAAATCCACGGGTTAGGGGGCGCAAATTACTTGCCTTGCCCCGGGTGCTGACAACCCACGCTACGCCACTGGGTGGGGGGTTTATGTTATGTTGTAAATAAAATTTCCAATTTTTTTTTAAAAAAACCACTGCTGTGCCCCCTTTCCCCCCTTTCCTCCGCCAGACGCTATCCAAATTCTCCCGGCTGGGCCACCTTGTTGCGGTGCTGGGGATCTGCTGCGGAGACGCCGTCAAGTCCATCAGCTCCAAGGCAGCCAAGAGCGTCCACCTCCTCCTGGCGATCGTGCTTGGCCAGAAAAGTAAGAAACGGGCGGCAAAGCCATCCTTGAGCATGTGCAGAGTGCGAGGGGGGCCATAGCTCAGCTGTAGAGCCTCTGCCTCGCAAGCAGAAGGTCCCAGGTTCAGTCCCTGTCATCTCCTGCCTCAAATCTTTGGAGAACGGCTGCCAATCATTGCATGCAACACATCCTCCTTCCTTTTCCCTTTCATCCCAGGGCCGGCTCACCCATGAGGCAGGGTGAACCAATGGCCATAGGGTGGCCAGCTCAGAACCTCTGGGAAGGATGTCAGACCCCGGCGAGACGGGGGGGGATTATTGCTTTGGTTTTGTTCTTATTTTTATTGTGTTTTTTATATTGTGATTTTATGTTGCGAACCACCCTGAGATATAATAATAATAATAATAATAATAATAATAGTAATAAATTTTATTTATACCCTGCCCTCCCCAGCCAAGACCAGGCTCAGGGCGGCTAACAACCAGTAATAAAAACAGGTTGATTAAAATACAATGTAAAAACAAGATTAAAATACAACATTAAAACATTAAGATGCAGCCTACAGATGAAGGGCAGTAAATAATAATAATAATAATAATAATAATAATAGATGGTAATAATAATAATAATAATAATAATAATAATAATAATAATAATAATAGATGGTAATAATAATAATAATAATAATAATAATAGATGGTAATAATAATAATAATAATAATAATAATAGATGGTAATAATAATAATAATAATAATAATAATAATAATAATAATAATAATAGATGGTAATAATAATAATAATAATAATAATATAATAATAATAGATGGTAATAATAATAATAATAATAATAATAATAATAATAATAATAATAATAGATGGTAATAATAATAATAATAATAATAATAGATGGTAATAATAATAATAATAATAGATGGTAATAATAATAATAATAATAGATGGTATAATAATAATAATAATAATAATAATAATAGATGGTAATAATAATAATAATAATAGATGGTAAATAATAATAATAATAATAATAGATGGTAATAATAATAATAATAATAATAATAATAGATGGTAATAATAATAATAATAATAATAATAATAATAATAATAGATGGTAATAATAATAATAATAATAATAATAATAATAATAATAATAGATGGTAATAATAATAATAATAATAATAGATGGTAATAATAATAATAATAATAATAATAATAATAGATGTAATAATAATAATAATAATAATAATAATAATAGATGGTAATAATAATAATAATAATAATAATAATAATAATAATAATAATAGATGGTAATAATAATAATAATAATAATAATAATAATAGATGGTAATAATAATAATAATAATAATAATAATAATAATAATAGATGGTAATAATAATAATAATAATAATAATAATAATAATAATAATAATAATAGATGGTAATAATAATAATAATAATAGATGGTGATGGTGATAACAACAACAACAACAACAATTATTATTATTGTTACCATCACCATCTATTATTATTATTATTATTTACTGCCCTTCATCTGTAGATCTCAGGGTGGTTAGCAACATAAAATCACAACAATAATTATTATTATCACCATCACCATCACCATCTGTTGTTGTTGTTGTTGTCACCATTATTATTATTATTATTATTATTATTATTATTATTATTATTCCCCACCCATCTGCAAGCAGCCACTCTGTGCGGCTTCCAACAGATTACACAAAAAGACAGCAAAACACCAGGCATTAAAAACTTCCTGATACAAGATGTCTTGTAAAAAGCTGTGTAGTTTTTTGTTTCATTGCTATCTTTACTTACAGATTCCATTCAATGAGATTTATATACCGCTTGATTTTTTAAAAATCAAGCTTATTGCAAAAATATTTTTTTAAAAGCAAGAAAAATCGCAATACCTTAAAACACACAAAAAGTTAAAAATACTAAAGGCAGCTTAAAATTCACACCGGCTTTTGAAGCATCTGGGTAGGTTTGCCTAAACAAGAATGTTTCTAGCATAATTATTCATTTCTCATTATGATATGTACATTGGTTTTTAATCACGGTGGTCTCACGTATTACTTGTTTTTAACTGGAGTGTGAATTTTTACCTGGGAAGCTTTTCTGATCAAATGGCTTGTAAGTCTTCAAAATAAATAAATGCGAGATTAGTATAGCTTCCCAGTAACTTTGTGCACCTAATTAATATGCCCAATAGGTAGGTCCCCATTGTGTATAGAAATGTTCATCTCCTTACGGGACCGCCTCTCTTGGTCTGCTCCGCAGAGGACCTTAAGGTCCATGAATAATCATAGTTTAGAGGTCCCGGGCCCTAAGGAAGTCAGATTATCCTCCACCAGGTCCAGGGCCTTCTCAGTGATGGCTCCGACCTGGTGGAATGCTCTGTCCCACGAGACTAGGGCCCTGCAGGATTTAACCTCCTTCCGTTGAGCCTGTAAGACAGAGCTATTCCACCTGGCCTTTAATTTGAATTCAGCCTGATCTTTTATTTTACTTCTCTTCCCTCCCCCTCCCCTTTTATGAAGATCACCTGCTCTGAGACCCCACAGCTAATTCTCCCCTGGGCTCCTCGCTGGCCCAAGTAGGACCAATTCAGCCAGCTAGCCCTGGGGATTATCTAATGCCTAAATTGATTTCTGAATTTTGAATTTTATTGTTATTCATGATTTTATACTGTATTTTATGCTGCTTTTACAATGAAGTGTTTTAAATTTGTTCTTAGCCGCCCTGAGCCCAGTTTTTGAACCAGGAAGGGCGGGGTATAAATAAAAAAATATTATTATTATTATAATATCATATTTCTTACATTTATGCCCCAACTGTCCTCGTGATTTTATTCCTCCCCTTCTGCTCCTCACAACAACCTTGTGAGGTAGGTTAGGTTGAGAAGGCAGCGACTCTCACCCAGCGAGCTTCATGGCTGAGCAGGGATTTGTACCCTCGCCTGACGCTCTAGCCACTACACCGCGCTGCCCTGGAACTGACTGGTATGTTCTTGTTTTTTGAAATTTCCGGGGTGTGTCAGTTGCGAGGCTGGATGAGAAGAACGTCCACACGGAAGCCATCAAGCGCAAGCACAAGGAGTTCTTGGAATCTTGGAATCCGGCCGTGTTTCTCAAAAACCCCTCCAGAGTTGCAGAGGTAAATGTTGTTGTTATTGTTGTTTAGTCGTTTAGTCGTGTCCGACTCTTCGTGACCCCATGGACCAGAGCACGCCAGGCACCTCTGTCCTCCACTACCTCCCGCAGTTTGGTCAAACTCATGCTGGTAACCTCGAAAACACTATCCAACCATCTCGTCCTCTGTCGCCCCCTTCTCCTTGTGCCCTCCATCTTTCCCAGCATCAGTGTCTTCTCCAGGGAGTCTTCTCTTCTCATGAGGTGGCCAAAGTACTGGAGCCTCAGCTTCACGATCTGTCCTTCCAGTGAGCACTCAGGGCTGATTTCCTTAAGAATGGATGCGTTTGATCTTCTTGCAGTCCATGGGACTCTCAAGAGTCTTCTCCAGCACCAGAATTCAAAAGCACCCATTCTTCGGCGATCAGCCTTCTTTATGGTCCAGCTCTCACTTCCATACATCACTACTGGGAAAACCATGGCTTTAACTATACGGACCTTTGTTGGCAAGGTGATGTCTCTACTTCTCAAGATGCTGTCTAGGCCTGTCATTGCCCTTCTCCCAAGAAGCAGGCGTCTTTCAATTTCGTGGCTGCTGTCACCATCTGCAGTGATCATGGAGCCCAAGGTAAATAGAAGGACACAACTGGGGGGTGGACAAATTTATGCTTGGATATTGCTCACTACAATATCTGTGGCTCGATGAATCCCCTTGGTTACTTTCAGGTTGGGATATTAAGTTTCCCACCTTTCTTTTTTTATATATAATAATTTTAATTAATTTTAACATATAAATTATAAATCGTACCACAAAACTTTGTCACTTATACAGTTTTTTGGACTTCCATCAGCACCTCTGATGATCCACCATTTTAACCACTTCTTATGCATTTCTTAAATTTATATTACCTTTAAATATCTTAGCGAATCATTCTCCCCCTTATCCATTTTTGCAATAATTCCAATGATACTCCTCACAAAACTTCTTGCAAACCTACAAACGTCGTCTGATCTTCACAAATACTTTTCAAATAATCTGTAAATTTACTACAGTCTTCTGTGAATTCCTGGTCCCGCCGATTTCAAATCCTTCCTGTTAGTTTATCCAGTTCTGCATAGTCCATTAATTTCGTCCTCCATTCTTCTTTCGTCGGTAATTCTTCTTGCTTCCACTTTTGGGCCAATAATGTTCTTGCTGCCGTTGTTGCATATAAAAAGAGCTTGCATTCCTTTCTATTTATATCACTCCCTACGATGCCCAATAGGAATGCTTCTGGTTTCTTTAGAAATGTATATTTCAACATTTTTTTCATCTCATTATATATCATCTCCCAGAAGCTTTTCACCTTTTTACATAAGTTTCCCACTGTTCTGGCCATCCTGGATGGGGGGAAAAGGCTCACCTCTTAGCTGAGATGACAAAATTGACATGTTTAATCGGAGAGAAGTCCTCTCACAGACTTTTTGCGTGAAACCTCTCACAGACTTTTTGCGTGAAAAAGAAATAGCAATATCTGGATTTGAGGATATTTTTAGTATTTGTTTATAGAAAACAGCTAGCTTTGTTGGAAGTAAATATTGTTTTTACATAGCGGACAGATGAAGAATCAGAAATTCTTTATTTTCTGAGTCTTATTTTTCTATTTTCTTCTTTTAAACTCTTTCCTATTCTTTTAAAATTTCTGTCTTTTTCTTTCTCTAGTTCTCTCCCCCCCCCCCCCCGCCCTTTTAGTGCCCTTACGGTATCTAGATAAAAGTCTTGGTTTGGTTTAAAATAAGGGGAAAGATATTAAGCTTCAATTTTTTTCTCTACAAACCTTAATAGAATTTATTTTAAGAAAATGAAAAAAGCGGGGGCATCTCTGCACAACCCGCCCCAGCCAACCACACGCCAACAGCATTCCTCCCTTCCTCCCCTTGTGCTCCAGGTCTTTGGCGTCTACTTCAGCCCGAGAGAGAAGACCGACTTCATCCTGACCGCTTTGGACGGCTTGACGGTGCAGTGCACCACCCATTGCTGCGCCACCACAGAGGGGCTCCTTGCCAGCATGGCGAGGCACTGCGGCGCCGAGATAGAGAAGGTGGGGCAGGTCTGAGGCAGCAGGTGGGCATCCTGAGGATGCTGATTTGGCAGGTGGGGAGAACTTGCAGTGGCGTAGCATTGCTTGCTGGTGCCCGGGGCGTGGAGGGTGAACGGAGCTCACCGCACCAGCCCAATCCCCACTGCCACCGCAGGAGCAACGCCAGCCCTACATCACTTTGCCAAGTGCACAATGCCCCCTTAAAAAATGTGTCTGCCCCCCCCCACTGTACCCCTGAGTCCTTCTTGCAGCGGGGCTGAGCTTTTCTGAACTTCACAATAGCCTCTCCACTAGGTGACTACAACCTACAGAAACCTACCCATCACTCAAGACTCTGGCTGAAGGTTTTCTCCTTCTCCTCCTCCTCCTTTTCCTTCCTCCTCCTCCTCCTCTTCTTCATTTTCCCCTCCTCCTCCCCCCTCCCCCCTCTCCTTCTCCTCCATCTCCTCCTCCTTCTTCCTCCTTCCCTATCTCCATCTCATTCTTCTTCCTCCTTCCCCCTCTGCTCCTCCTCCTTCCTCCTCCTTCCCCCTCTCCTTCTCCTCCATCTCTTCCTTCTTTCTCCTTCCCCCTCCTCCCCCCTCTCCTTCTTCTCCATCTCCTCCTTCTTCTTCCTCCCCTATCTCCATCTCATTCTTCTTCCTCCTTCCTCCTTCCCCATCTCCTCCTCCTTCCTCCTCCTTCCCCCTCTCCTTCTCCTCCATCTCCTCCTCCTTCTTCCTCCTTCCCCATCTCCCCCTCCTCCTTCCTCTTCCTTCCTGCCCTCCTGCCTCCCAACCCCTTTCCCCTTCCAGGTCTCGGACATTGTGGACGGGATCTGCAGCCGCCTGGACCTGATCCACCAGCCCAGCGCAAGGAGGCTCGTGATGAAGCTGGTGGGCTTGCTGGCAGGCAGGACCGAGCACTTGGACACGGTCATCTCCAGCCTCCTGGAGCATTCCTTCCCACCAGACAGGTAACAAGTTCCTTGCTTTTCTCCCTTGAGAACCGAACCCTAGGCAGCAAGTCTCCGTCCACATGGGAAAAACTGGTGCCCCTGGTTTTTAGCATGGATGGTACTCAGCTAGATGGATCGGTGGTCAGGCTTAGTATAAGGCAATTTCCTATGTTCATCAGGTGCATCCATAGCTCAGTCCAGGCACCTACTTTGACGAAGGTCTTGGGTTCAATCCTCAGGGGCATTTTCAGGTACGATTTGGTTTCAGATTGGATGTATTGGATGTGAGCAACTATGCAAATGGGATGCGGGTGGCGCTGTGGGTTAAGCCACAGAGCCTAGGACTTGCCATTCAGAAGGTTGGCGGTTCGAATCCCCGTGACGGGGTGAGCTCCCGTTGCTCGGTCCCTGCTCCTGCCAACCTAGCAGTTCGAAAGCGCGTCAAAGTGCAAGTAGATAAATAGGTACCACTCTGGCGGGAAGGTAAACGGCATTTCCATGCGCTGCTCTGGTTCGCCAGAAGCGGCTTAGTCCTGCTGGCCACATGACCTGGAAGATGTACGCCGGCTCCCTCGGCCAATAAAGCGAGATGAGCGCCGCAACCCCAGAGTCAGCCACGACTGGACCTAATGGTCAGGGGCCCCTTTACCTTTGCCTTAAATAAAGAGTGATAGATTAGAAGCACTGGTGTCGAGCTGAGTTATTGAAGACACCACACAGACACAGACAAAGCCATTTTACTCTGCGTGTCAACTCTGCTACTATCCGACAACTGAGAAGAGAGGCAGCGCACGAGTGGAAGCGTGTGGGTGCCGTTGAAGTTTGTCGGAGTGCCAATAAATCAGATTTATTGCAGTGCCATTGCAGCAGACTCTGTGGGTCAAAGGATTTACGACCCACAAACTTTTAACACTCCCTCTTTTGTGTGACACCCCTGTAGGTAGTTGAATACGGCTATCCTATCTCCTCTCAGTCTCCTCTTTCCCAGGCTAAACATACCCAACTCCTTCAACCGTTCCTCATCAGGCTTGGTTTCCAGACCCTTGATCCTCTTGGTCACCCACCTTCCAGCTTCTCAGCATCCTTCTTAAATTGTGGTGCCCAGAACTGGACACAGGACTCCAGGTTGGGGGTCCGACCAAGGCAGAGCAGAGTGGGACGACGAGACACGTTTCAGAGGCCCTCCGCTGTTGATGTTGCTCCATCCTCTTTTGGCCCTTTGCAGCAATTCGTCCGAGTTGTGGCAGTCCCTCTCTACCGAGGAAGTCGTGGAGGAGCAGCTGATGGAGAATTTGCTGGCCAGGCTGCAGGACCACCACAGCACTGAGCTGCAGACCTCCGCTGCCTCTATTGCCGTGAGTCTTGCCATATCTTTGGAGATAACAGAGCTATGGGTCTCTCTGAACATCCCACCTGCTCTAAAAGGCCATCGATAGTTAAAAGCCAAAGGCCTGGTTAACAAGAAAGGTTTTTCCCTGGCACCTATATAATGACGGTGCCAGGCGAGCCTCTCTGGGGAGAGCATTCCATAAGCAGGGAGCCAATACCAAAAAGGCTCTGTTCTCATTTTGCCACCGTCTGAGCTGGCCTGGCAGAATGAAGATTGGGATCTGATTGGCAGATCTCTGGGTGATTTCATCAGATTGGTAAAAGTTCCCAGTTCCCCATTTTTTAACAAAAGGACTGCCCTCAGTTACACTATGAATATTAGGCACTAGATTGCTTTAGATTGTCTGCTGAAAAGGATTTATTTTCCCAGCAAGCCAATCGAGGCATATAATTTTATTACATCTGTTTTTTAAAAATTTATTAGTTTTGTATTTGCTTTTAATGGCAGTGGGTCTATGCATATTTTTGTTTAGCTGCGAGTGTTCATTTCTTACGCTTATATTATGTTTAGTGACAATTTGGGCATTTCAAGGGGTTGGACTAGATGACCCCTGGGGAGGGTCTCTTGCAACTCTACAGTTCTATGATTCTAACTCGGGAAGCTGCCTATCAACATAAAAAGCATTTGTTTATATGTTTGTGTGTGTTTGCTCAATGATGATCTTACATACTGTTTTTCATTGGACTGTGGGTTTTAGTCGCATTTCGTCTCCCGTTTTATTTGCAATCCGATTGGAGAGATTTTTGATCAAGCAGTTTCTAAATCAAAATAAATTAATACTGCTGAATTGAAGAAAGGGAGGCGATGGTAACCAGCAGGCACATCTTGTGTGGAAGGACAGGGTGCCCCATTTAGTCAAGAAACAGATTCCTGGACTTCTTAAATTGAAGGTGTCACGTCTTTTGCACCAGGGTCCCTGACACAAGAGAGAATTGTTCTCACGGCCTCCCCACCCACTCTTTTCTCCTGCCTCCCCTTTCAGATTACACAGGCTCTCTACGAGCTCATCTCGGTACCTGAATCCAAGTAAACTGCCAAAAATGTATAAATTTAAATCAAACAAGTGCTGGAAATGTAAAGAGAAAGAAGGTTCTTTTTATCATATGTGGTGGTCTTGTAGTAAGGTTAAAGCTTATTGGGAAATGATATATAATGAATTGAAAAGGATGTTCAAAATAACTTTGATTAAAAAACCAGAAGCTTTCCTTTTGGGAATTATAGGGACAGAACTACCTAAATTGTATAGAAACTTATTCATGTATGCTATTACAGCAGCAAGAATTTTCACTTGCCCCAAAATGGAATAAGCAGAAGTCCCAATAAAGGAAAAGTGGATACAAAAACACGTGGAATATGGCAGAGATGGCGAAACTTACCGGAAGGATAAGAAACGAAGATAACAAACTTCTTATAAAAGAATGGAAATTGTTTATTGAATCTTTACAGATAAATTGTAAACAGATAAAAACATGGGCAGGATTAATGTAATAACCTGCAGTTTCATAAGAGTATATATTTAAAGCAGATGGATAAATGAGCAAGTTGGATATGCAGAAGATATTAAAAAATTAAAGTAAGCAACTGCAGAAAGAGGGGGAAGGAAGTCAAAGTTTGGAAATGTTAAATTGATTGTAAAACTAATGAAATGTATAAATTTGAAAAATATAAATAAAAAACTACAGTGGATGCTCGGGTTGCGAACATGATCAGTGCGGGAGGCACGTTTGCAACCTGCAGCTTTCGCAACCCGCAACACTGCATCTGCGCATATGCGGGTAGCAATTCGGTGCTTCTGCGCATGCACAAAGCACAATTTAGCGCTTCTGCACATGCACGACTGCCAAAACCTGGAAGTAACCCGTTCCGGTACCAGGAGGCACCAGGAGTTTCGGCGGGTCCATAACCCGAAAAAATGCAACCTGAAGCGTCTGTAACCTGAGGTATGACTGTATTTTAAAAAGACACAAGAGAATTGTCCTCAAAGCCTCCCCACCCACTGTTTTCTCTCCTCCCCAATCAGATCACTCAGGCTCTCTACGAAGTAATCTCAGTGCCTGAATCTAAAGACACCATCCAGAGACTTTATCCAGACCTTCTGACTGCTCTGCTCATCGAACTCTACTTCAGCAACCAGGCCGAAGCTCTGCCGGATATGAATTTCCTCCGGAAGCAATGTGGTCGTGGGGAAAACCTCGCGAGGTGGGTACCTCAGTTGCCCGGTGAGGGCATTCAGTGTCAGGAGTTCAGCCTACACTTGAGTAGGACCCTGGCAGAGACACATGCCCAACTGGCATATTCCCTCCCTCCTGGGCAATCGTTCAGGAGCTTCTAAAGCTTTCTTCAGCCTGAACATCACAGCGACCAATGCCAACCGACACTGGCACATTTAGGGATCTGCAGAGTTTGCACAGCTTTGTGTAACAGACCTCAGCAACTCAGCATTTTGGCTAATCTTCTTTATTTACATATACAGTGGTACCTCGGGTTACATACACTTCAGGTTACATACGCTTCAGGTTACAGACTCCGCTAACCCAGAAATAGTACCTCGGGTTAAGAACTTTGCTTCAGGATGAGAACAGAAATCGTGCTCCGGCGGCATGGCAGCAGCAGGAGGCCCCATTAGCTAAAGTGGTGCTTCAGGTTAAGAACAGTTTCAGGTTAAGAACGGACCTCCGGAACAAAATAAGTACTTAACCCGAGGTACCACTGTGAACACACACGGAAGCACTACAACATGGCTCCCTCCCTCTCTAGCACCAGACAGCAAAGAGAGAAAGAACAAAGGACAATAGTCCCACTTCACGGAACACAGGAACACAAAAATCCTGTCTCTATCACTTCCCACTCTGTGGAGTCAAAACATACACCGTCATGTGAAAGACAACAATCCCATGACTGCGATCATGGAGCAGGAATTCTAAAATTCAGATTAGGAAATGTCGCCTTTTAACCTGAAAGGGTTAAAAGAGTATTGGGAAATAATTTATAACGAATTGAAAAAAAAATGTTTAAAAGTACTTTTCCAAAGAAACCCAGAATCCTTTCTGTTGGGGATAATTCAGACTGAAATTCCCAGGTGTCAAAAAAAGACTATTTATGTATGCCAATACCACGGCCCATGTTTTGTTAGCCCCAAAATTGAAAACGAGCGAAGTCCCAACCAAAGAAGAATGGCAACATAAGCTGACAGAATATGCGCAGCTTGCAGACTTAACATATAGAATAAGAGAACAAGAAGAACATACGTTCAGAGAAGACTGGAAAGCATTTATTGACTATATAGGTGGAAATTGTGTATGTTTGAAAATGTAGGCAGTGTTAAGATAAATTCAACAGTGCAAACAAGTTTTGATGGATGTAATAATGGAATACTGAATGGTTTAGTTTATGTAAAATATGCAGGGATTTGTGTTATGTACAATGAACCATGGAAAGAGGAGGAGGGAAGTCATTGATATTTTAAGGTTGCTTAAATGAATATTCTAAAATGCATAATAGAAGAACTTAATAAAAGTTATATATTTTTTAAAAAGATTAAGAAATGTAACCTGGTTAGTCTCTCTGCAGTCTGATAGCTATCCATTTTGTTATAACACAGAGCTGGGCTTTTTCACTGGTAGTCCCATGGTTATGGAACATGCTCCCTGCCGAAATAAGAGAGGCATCCATCTGCATTGGCATACCGCCGGCTTTTGAAGACAGGCCTGTTTACCCTGGCATTGCCTTGATCTCTCAACCCACTCAAGTGTTAAAATATAAGCCAGGCACCTATGTCGCTGGGCACCCACAGTCTGAGGCCTGACCCGGGTCCTCTGCTAGTGGGTGACAAAGAGAGAACGCTAGAATTCGTAAACAGCTGTATGTTGGAAAATTCAGGACAGTTAAAAGCACTTGTTCATGCAGCACATAGTTAACTCCCACAGGAGGCAGTGATGACCAACAACCTGGAAGACTTTAAAATGGGATTAGACAAATTCATGGAGGGCTTTGGGGGGCTATTAGCCAGGATGGCTCTGCTCTGCCCTCTTGTTGCTCTTGTGTTCGAATCCTGCTTGCGGGTTTCCCACAGGGATCTGGTTGGCCGCTGTGGGAAAAGGATACAGTCATACCTCGGGTTGAGCATGTTCAGGTTGCGCTCCGCGGCAACCTGGAAGTAATGGAGCGTGTTACTTCCGGGTTTCACCCCTCGTGCATGCGCAGACGGCCAAAATGGCATCACGCGCATGCGCGGAAGCGGCAAAACGCGACCCACGCGTGCGCAGACATGCTGTCGCGTCTTACGTTATGTTCAGGATGCGAACGGGGCTCTGGAACAGATCCCGTTCGCATCCCGAGGTACCACTGTACTAGATTAGATGGGCCATTGGCTGGATCCAGCAAGCCCTTATGTTCTTACATTATTCTGAAAGTGACTTCTCCATTTCTACCCAGACTAATATTATTATCAACGACAACAACAATATTTATGTATTGCTTGCTATGAATTATGTCAAGGCAATTTCACAATGCAAATAATAATAATAATAATAATAATAATAATAATAATAATAATTTATTATTTGTACCCCACCCATCTGGCTGGGTTCCCGCAGCCACTCTGGGCGGCTTCCACAAATACCAAAAATACACTAAGATGTCAGACATTAAAAACTTCCCTGAACAGGGCTGCCTTAAGATGTCTTCTGAATGTCAGGTAGTTGTTTATCTCTTTGACATCTGGTGGGAGGGCGTTCCACAGGGCGGGTGCCACCACCGAGAAGGCCCTCTGCCTGGTTCCCTGTAGCTTTGCTTCTCACAGTGAGGGAACTGCCAGAAGGCCCTCGAAGCTGGACCTCAGTGTCTGGGCAGAACGATGGGGGTGGAGACACTCCTTCAGGTATAAAGACATGCACAAAACAATTGCAGGTATAAAAATGGTTAAAACAATTAAGAGCCTGCTGGGTCAGGCCAAATGCCTATCTGGCTGAGCATCTTCACGGCCTGATCCTGCAGAGCTTCACTTATGTCCTTATGTAACCAGGCCGTCCTCTTGGCTTAGCTTTTCAGTGGAGGCCCTCAAGTTGCTCCTGATTCGCACTGGCTGCCGCTACGAGGTCACGTTCATGGAGAGGTCGCGGGGCTGGAGCATGCTGCAGAGTGCCAGGGAAGTGCTCCAGGGGGCCACGCTGCTGGCAAGGTGAGGGCCCTGCTGTTCCACCAACTTCGCCTCTGGCCAAGGAGAGGCACCCGCCAGCACCCAGGCTGCCACGCTGGCTCTGCCGTTTTGAAAACCATCACAGCTCTTCTCCAAGGGAGCCAAGGCCCTAGGCCCAGAAGGCTGGTGTCAGGTTTCAGGGAATCGGCTCCACCCCCCCGGGGGGGGCAGTAGATAAGCAGAACAAAAGAAAAGGTGTCTTCTTACCAGTTAGAAACTTTAATAATCACAGCGAGAGAACAGGGAGTCTTCTCTTCTCATGAGGTGGCCAAAATCTTGGAGCCTCAGCTTCAGGATGTGTCCTTCCAGTGAGCACTCAGGGCTGATTTCCTTCAGAATGGATATGTTTGATCTTCTCACAGTCCATGGGACTCAAGAGTCTCCTCCAGCACCAGAATTCAAAAGCATCAGTTCTTCAGCAATCAGTCTTCTTTATGGTCCAGCTCTCCCTTCCATACATCACTACTGGGAAAACCATAGCTTTAACTATACCTTTGTTGGCAAGGTGATGTCTCTGCTTTTTAAGATGCTGTCTAGGTTTGTCATTGCCCTTCTCCCAAGAAGCAGGCGTCTTTTAATTCCGTGGCTGCTGTCACCATCTGCAGTGATCATGGAGCCCAAGAAAGTAAAATCTCTCACTGCCTCCATTTCTTCCCCTTCTATTTGTCAGGAGGTGATGGGCCCAGTGGCCATGATCTTCGCTTTTTTGATGTTGAGCTTCAGACCATTGGCAAGATGGTCTGCTGCAATTTGCATCTTAGTTTCTTCAGGTTTTATCCTTCTTGAACCCACGTGGATTAAAATTTAGAAACCAATCAGTTCTTTGGATTAATTAGCAGTTTGCCAATGGTTATGTGGAGGAACAATAACTCAGGCTTGTTAGCTGAATTCTGTTTATCAAAAGGGCCTTGAAGATTAAAGCATTCCCAGAGACAGACCAAATTCTTTGAGTTGTAAATTAGCCAGTTAACCCTCTCACACTGAATCTACGCCCCAGACACCCAGGTGTCAAAACCACAAATCAGCTAGAAACTTTCTTCCTGTGAAGGGAAAGAGATAACCCTGTTCACACTTTTAAAGTCTGTAATTGAGACCCAGATACGCATTCCTCACAGGGGTGGCGTTACCCTCCTTCCTTGTAACAACATGGCGCCTTCCCCCTGGTGTCTTCCAGAGCCATGCTGCACTTTGCTTGTCCCGAAACAATGAGGATCCTGGACATGATGTTCTCTCTGCTCAGCAAAGGCAGCAAGAAACTCAAGCCGACCACCATTGCTTTCTTCGTAGAGGTAAGAGATGCGCAGGACAGGTAGAGCGACAACCTGGGACCAGGTGACCTGAGAGAACACCTTCTCCCATACAGGGCCAGGTGGGGAAACAGAGCCATCTTTCTTGTTGGGCTTACTGGCGCGTTGCGCCAGGGCACTAGCCTCTCAGGGGTGCCTCAGCAAGTGGGGGAGCTGCGTGGCTTTGCCGGCGGCCTCCCCTTTCCCTGCAAGCCCGCCAGCTGTGCCCCATCAACCATATGGCTGGCGGGCATGCAGCTTGGCTCCCAAGCCTCCGCAGGAGTAATAATAACAATATTTTTTTATTTGTACCCCGCCCATCTGGCTGGGTTTCCCCAGCCACTCTGGGCGGCTTCCAAGAAAGATGAAAAATACATTAAAATGTCACACATTAAAAAATTTGCCTGAACAGGGCTGCCTTCAGATGTCTTCTAAATGTCAGGTAGTTGTTTATTTCCTTGACATCTGATTGGAGGGTGTTCCACAGGGCAGGTGCCACTACTGAGAAGGCCCTCTGCCTGGTTCCCTGTAGCTTTGCTTCTCGCAGCGAGGGAACCGCCAGAAGGCCCTCGACACTGGACCACAGTGTCCGGGCAGAACAATGGGGGTGGAGACGCTCTTTCGGGTACGCTGGACCGAGGCTGTTTAGGGCTTTCAAGATCAGCACCAACATTTTGAATTGTGCTCGGAAACGTACCGAGAGCCAATGTAGGTCTTTCAAGACCGGTGTTATATGTCCTTGGGGGCCGCTCCCAGTCACCAGTCTAGCTGCCACATTCTGGATTAATTGCAGGTTCCGGTTCAACTTCAAAGGTAACCCCATGTAGAGCGCATTGCAGTAGTCCAAGCGGGAGATAACCACTCTGGGGAGACAGTCTGCGGGCAAATAGGGTCTCAGCCTGCGTACCAGATGGAGCTGGTAGACAGCTGCCCTGGACATAGAATTGACCTGCGCCTCCATGGACAGCTGTGAGTCCAAAATGACCCCAGGCTGCGCACCTGGTCCTTCAGGGGCACAGTTACCCCATTCAGGACCAGGAGGAGAGCGATCCCCGCAGAGGCTTAGGATGGAAGCTGCGCGCCAAGGCCGTCATTCAGGGCTGGAGCATCTTCTTGGCATGCAGAACCTCTCTGGGTTCAATCCCTGAGAAGGGCTGGAAAGATTCTGGTCCGAAACCCTCAGACGCCTTCTCTGAGCCTATCCTACCCCAGAGGGTTGTTGTGGAGATTGAATGAGGAATGGGAGAACCTCGCACACACAACCTTGATCTCCGTGGGGAGAGAGGTGGAATAAAAATGCAATAAGGAAATAAGAAACACGCCGGGTGCTTTTAAATGTGCAGTGAGGACAACCTTGCCTAGCAAGTTTGAAGCAAAGGAGCGACTGAACGTGGTCTTCCTTCCCTCTTCACAGGCAACCCCATTCGGAGTCTGTGTGTTTAAGGGGTTAAATACATTTTAATTTTTGGAAGCTATTTTGATTCCTCCTGTAATAAATGCGGAGGGGGGGGAGAGAAAGACTGTATCCTGAGGATGAGCTCAGCTCATCGATTTAAAAGACATTTAAATTGAATGGAATTAAATGTAACGGATTAATGAGTTAACTAAATGGCTAATTTTGAGGTGAGTACTTAGTTGATTAAGGTCTGTTTAAACAGCAGACAGGCCTAATGAATTGATTGAGGATTTATTTATTTTTTAATTTGCTTGCCTCTTTATCCTTCCAATCTTGCACCCAGGGCTGATTACATGCAGCTCAGTCAACATAAGTAAACATGTAATAAAGATATTGTATGGTAAAGGGTTAAGATCTGGCTCCCCAAATTAATGTTTGGGCTAAAGGAAGGTCCTGGGTCTGAAAAGGTAGAAAACTCCTGCCCTAAACCACCTTGTTGTTTTGCACACAATGAGAAGCAGCTGGGAGGAGAGTTCAGGGATAGTTTTTTAAAAATAATAATTTTATAAGTTGTGCATCCTTGTTTCTCAATTTAATCCGTTTACATGGTCTTGCATGATTTGTCGCATTTCATGCATTGTGATTTTCTGCTGTTTTTATCCATTATGGATGAGTAATTCTTTATTGTAATTGATAACTGTTTAATTATTACTAGCTGGTGTTTCATGTTAGTGTTTACTGTTGGATTATTGCATATTGCTTTATTTGTTTACTTTAAAGTTATTGTGACCTATTTTGTGTAGGATCTGATTGTTACAATTAATGTCTGATGTATTCTTATTATTTTTGTGTGCTGGAAGCAGCCCAGAGTAGCTGGGTATAATAATAATAATAATAATAATAATAATAATAATAATAATAATACAGAGAGAGCATTTTGGAGACTTAATGCCGACGTTTTTATGGCAAGCTCCATCTCAGGGAAAGAGGTGGTCGCATCCTGCCCTTTCCTCTCTCACGTGGCCTATGGTCCTTTGTTGTTGCTCAGCTTCTCCACTACCAGGAGATTGAGCAGCTGCCGGCGGATCAGATCTTTGAGAGTCTTGAGGAGTGGACCAGAAATCCCAGCCCGGACGTCCGTTCCCTTGGCCTGAGAGCACTGGGCATCTTAGCCATCCACCCTGATAAGGTGAGGAAGGAGGGGACGGGGACAACCCCTCTGTTCTCTCACATGAATCGAGAGAATGGTGGAGTTGGAAGGGCCCTCCAGGGTCATCTAGTCCAACCCCACTGCTACGAAGCTGCTTTATACTTTGGTTCGTCGAGCCCAGGGATGAGGGACGAGGATGAAGATGCCGGGCCGGCAAAGGGTAGTACGGAGAATGTAACGACAGCCTTCCTGGATCAGGCCAGAGAGCCCTCAAGTGCATGAGATGCTGCCTTCTGCAGGAAGGCTGGTGGCGACAGGTTGAAAGTGCCTTTTCTGCAACGGTGCCCCACCTGCGGAACTGCCTGCCACCGCCTCTTTATCTGCCTTCCGTCAGCAATTGAGAATATTGCTGTCTAAAGAAGTTTTCTGCTTAGGGTGTTGATCCCCGATTATCTTCTTTGTGCTTCGGTCTTTCCCTGCTGTTTTCCCGCTCGACAATTTGTGATCTTGGCGAATGGATCATGGCCCCTTTCCTGCTTGCTCTCCTGGTCTCACAAGCCACTTTCAGCAGCTCCATCACGGAGAGGGGAAGCAGGGTATAATTTTAAAAAGGTAAATGACCCCTGACAGTTAAGTCCAGTCAAGAACGACTCTGGGGTTGCGGCGCTCATCTCGCTTTACTGGCCGAGGGAACCAGCGTTTGTCTACTTCACAGACAGTTTTTCTGGGTCATGTGGCCAGCATGACTAAGCTTCTTCTGGTGAAACCAGAGCAGTGCATGGAAACGCCGTTTACCTTCCCACTGGAATGGTACCTATTTATCTACTTGTAGTTCATACTTTCGAACTGCTAGGTTGGCAGGAGCAGGGACCGAGGAACAGGAGCTCATCCCGTCGTGGGGATTTGAACCGCTGACCTTCCGATCGGTTTAGTCATGCTGACCACATGACCCGGAAGCTGTCTGCGGACAAACGTCGGCTCCCTCGGCCTATAGAGCGAGATGAGCACGCAACTCCAGAGTTGTCCACGACTGGACTTAACTGTCAGGGGTACCTTTACCTTTATCTGTGGGAATATTGTGGATAGTAGTCTATATTGATTAAATATTATCCTTCCTCACTCACGGTAGTGAGCTGGTAGCAGAGCACATTCTCCTATATATTGCGGGAAGCAATTTGGTAGATTCGTTTGAATCTCTTGAGTTAAGCAAACCAGTCTGGCTTGTCCAGATGGGATTTGTCCCTGGTAAATAAAATAATAATAATAATAATAATA